TATATATAGGTTGACCTGCGCCTACACAAAGAGCGGAAACAGGTCGCAAAACTAAAAATGATTTGAAGAAAAAATTAAAAACACCTCATGCATACAATATGCTCATACAAAGTTCGTCAAAACTTAATGAATGTAATAAACAACCGAAAATGAAAGAGTTTCAATGCTCAGTTAGAAATAGCAACGATGCAAATGATAATAACAATTATCATAATAATAATTATGACATTGTTAATATTAATAATAATATTTTTGATGATCGCGAAATTGCACAACAACGGTTGCATAACCGATGGAAACGTTCAAGAAAAATCGAGCGTTTAGGAAGTGACGAGTCAATGAAGATAATACTATTGCATCAGTTAGAAAGGGTGATGACGATTCATTGATAATGAATCAACGAGATAAAAACAGAAATTAGTAAACATTAATTGCCTTTGATTTCCAGGTTAAAATAAACGAATCTGCTGGATGCTAGTACTAAAGTGTTCAATTACTTTGTAGTTATCGGAATTTGATATTGCAAAAGACGAAAACGATAAACAACAACATGTAAACAATCGCAAAATAAAGTTAAAATAACCTTGCGTAGAGCCCTTATCAAGAAAACTGCCCAAATTGAACGTTGTATTACACGAAGCCAAATACTGAGAAAACCGCTGCAAATGGTTCAATATTATTCTAAAAATAGAAAAACGAATCAGATATATTAAAAATACTTTCAAATTAAATGAATTTCAACTGAACAACACATCTGCATAATTCTGATAATGTGCGGCAACACAGTAACAATAATCATGAAACTCACTGAATAATTCAGATACTCACTGAATTGACATTCTCTGAACCGTCTGACCAATAAAATAAAAAGGTACAATATAAAACTGAACATAAAATAAAATTAAACCTCATTTCCATAGCACATAATATTATGAATTGTTATCAGCGCCTTATAAACAACTGTCCAGTTCGGATTTTGTGTTCGCTCGATGAGTAAATTGGCCATAGATGGAATCGATACATTTGGCTCATTTGTACAGTGTAATAAATCTAATACAGATACTAAATTCACTCAAAGAACAACGATAACAATGGTAATTGGTAATTAATAACAATATTAATATCAATAATAATAATAAATAATAATGATACTGGATGAATTAATGAAGTGAATAAAACGAATGAAAGAAGAACAAACAATCAAGATGCTTCTTCTTGGGTGCCATTAATTCCTCCGTAGTTGCTTTACAAATCGTTTTACCGAGTTGACTACCAGCCAGCGAATGTTTTGCTGCTGTCAGGCGATCAGTTATGGTTTGGCCACCGGTTGTGAACGGCATTGGTTGATGCAGTGCCTTCTCGATAGTTTGCATTTTGATACACTACTTTGTTGACGAAACGCTTTTCAATTTGACGAACGGATTTCGAGAAACAATCGATGCAACAATCTGATCGTCGATTATTTCACCTCTCGCAATGAATAAGTGAATCACTCAATCTATTGATTACTGATACTGAGAACGGCTCGAACAGCCGAACTTTATTTCGCGTATACACACACGCACAAATGCACAACCCTAAAAGTTGCTTATTATTTCGTTGCCGATTCGAAATCTTCATCGATTCACCCATAACGATACATTACGTATACTTATCCCTTCATATGTGAATATCAGTAAGAAGGAAAACTATCGTTAAAAAACACAAAAACGAACAAATAAGAAAAAATGGCAACGATATTTTGAGCTATTTGGTAAGAGATGAAAAATACAGCCAGTAAATTATTGCACAAATAAGAGAAGTAAATAAATGAGTGAAGAAGTCAACAGACATAACAAAACGAAAACATTCGGTTAAGTATCACAATAAAAACAAGAAATAAATCAAGAATGAAATCAAGCGTTACATTTAAAAGCCTACTCCCAGCTATTTTAATATCCATCGATCGTCAGTCAGTCTTCTCCCAAGCACACCATCAATAATCTACATCGCCAATTGAACATATATGTCTACATATACATACATAAATATACGCATTCGCTTTCTTCTCAAACGCTTACCACTCTCACAGCATCATATTGCTCTATACTTTATTCCGTATGTCCTAATGTTCACCGCATCACCCCTCTTGTTTTGGTCTCGCGTTTGATTTCTCATTTGACGTTATCTCGTCGAGATAAGATGTTATAATATTTTGCTTACATCAACAACAACTAAAACTTATTCAATTGTCATTCCCGAATCTGCTTTCGAAAACTTTCATTCACGCTTTCACACGTGGTTCGCATTACTTATACGAACATTTTAAAAACATATGCAAACATTATCATCATCGAATTTCTTTATTCGGTCTCTAAATTCCACCTTCAAACTGAATCCAAGTTGAAATAGTCAACTGTTCCAAATACAACCGAATATCTTTCTGATAATATTGGTGAGTGATTTCAGTCGCCTGGCAATCTCTATAATGCAACCATTAATCAACAACTCAATCTTACAATCGACTTATATATTCATACAAGAAGCTTTTATATTTTGCGTTCAGTCAAAACAGCTTAAACACTCAAGATGAAGTGTGAGCAAAAGCTCTGATAAGCAACTACACACACACACACTACATTTATAAGTCGAACTGCTGGAAGGTAGCCGGCACATGCTATGACGAAACAATAGTCATCATCAATAACAAACAATCTTTACATCCATCACATATCTTCGGTGACTATAACCAAACAAGCGATTCAACAACCACACCCTCTTGCCTAATAAACGACAGCCGATTGGTTCTAAGCTTCCAGCTTTAAGCCATACATACACATGCGACTGCTCTTCTGAATAAGGCTGTTTTCAATCCTAGTGGGCCATTTTCATCATAAGTGATGCACAAACAAGATGTGATGCTGCAATCATGTATTCCATTTACACATACCGTCTCTCTAATCAACAATCAGAACGGATGTAATTTTCCTAGAGATTTTTGCAGAGTGGGAGAGCTTCTTTAAGAAAGGTGAATTGTATTCTCCAAGATTTTCATGGCGTAGAAGGTGGTTAATTTGATGATTTTGCGTTGATTAATTACAGCGATTTTCATTACTCCTAGAATTCTTCTGAGCTGGGTCAGGAAGATGGTGATCTGGTAATGAGCAGGGTTGAAGTTTTCAAAAAATTATGGCATACATACGTCTAGATGTATAAAAGAATCTTTCATCATATGAGGCTTCCTCAGTCTTCTTCATATATTGACATCGCAAACAATGATATGTGAGACATCCTAACAAAATGGGCAGGACCTAACTGTTAAAATAGCCCGCACATAGCTGCGATTTGAATGCATCTAATTCCACCTCAAAAATTTCTTTCATGAATGGAAATCAAACGATTACGCTGAAATTAAGAGCAACAAAATGAATTATATAAAATACCATTGGCTCGGCTCAATGAAAGGCGTAATAGAATGATAATAAAGGTAACTTCTAGTGACAGATAACAAAGCAGTATGCACTCGGATTGACTCATCAAAAAAAGACATAAATTACCCCAAACTGATCATGAAAACAAAATCTCCTTACAGTTAGCAATCAGTTGACCTATATTCAAAATTATCGTTGTAAACAATTCTTAATAATGAAGCAAAATTATTCGTGAAAAATGAATGAGTGCAAAACTGATGAAGAACTCATAAATCGATGAATTACTTAAAAGCGTATGTAGTCTACATAATAACGACAATAACCACTAATTATTTGATTAAATAAATGAAACAATTCAACTACACTGAACTTATACACACAGTCAAACTGCAAATTCAATATAAACTTCGTATCCGTTCGTAACTAATCTCACGTACTCGAATGTGCAATGTGCAATCAATCCGTTCGTGTGTTATTTATAGTTGCACTCACACAAACACAATTGACAATCATTGACTATACTCATTGTTCGATACTTCATATGCATGAACTGAATTGCATTTATCGCTTTTTAACATGGCAGGTAAATACCAGTCAATGTGAACAAATGCAGCATTAATCCCCTCGAACTAGCACTTAGAAGCAGTTAAAGTACAACATAAAGTGAACATTCTTATTCAATTTTAATTCATGCCTAAATAATTCATGACTACCGATCGCTAGTGAGCAATTTTTTGGCTCGGAAGAATCTCGAACGGGAGAAAAATCCCGAAGGATATGGTAGTGTGGTGTTGGGACGTGGAAAACCGTAGACGGGATCCCGAAAATATCGTCGGTTAAAAAGTTGTTGTGGACGGGGATTCGGGGACAACATCCCAGGAATTTTCCGATCTGTAATGGGTTGAAGCTGCATTATTCAAATGACACTTAGACATAATAACTACAATATAGACGAGTGAACAGTTAAATAAATTCATGTACGCCACATGTACGAGGCGAGAATACCTGCAATGATCTGTTGAATTCTACAAATCAGAAAGACTTCACAGTATCACAGAAAAAATGTTTATTTATTAGCAATTTGGAACATAAATATATGTATACATCATTTAATGTTGACAGGCTTTAAAAATGAAGAATTGAAATTCCATTAGAAAACACGAAATGAAAAATTACATTTTTAAGAATTGACTGTAATTAAAATAGCTATTCTCTTACCGTCATCGTAATCTTATTATTACCGTTATCACAAAATAATCATGTTATCATACCTTTCGCAACATACAAAACAACATAAAACAAGTAAAAACACAACAAACTATTAAAAAACGAAAGAGAGCAAGTCCATTGAAAATAAGGATATCAATTAATCAATGACAAGAAGGTTCAAAAGACGATTTTGGGAACGAGGAAGTAAAAAAAAAAATAGACGATCGGATCATTTCTATACGAAAAAGAGAATAATTGATAAGAAAACATCGATGAAATTTCGTACGAAATGCAACGAAACATTGTGCGAAATGAACAAGAACAGATCGAAAAGCCGGCGAACAATTGCAAAAAATGCAACATTTAAAATTGAATATGAGTTCTCAACGAATTTTTACTGAAAGTTCCGAAAAACTGAAGGCTTATCTCTCGAAGAAATTTATCGTTTGAAGTGAAACAATATCAATAAAACATATACAACTAATGGTGTTGATAATAACAATGCAAAGAGTAAAAGTAATTCTATTCGAATAAGTTGAATACAAGAGTAACGTAAGTTCATAAATGTAAACTCGAGAAAAACCGAAGCCATGTGGTAATTCTGCTAATAATTAAATGGACATATGCGAATATAAAGTGAAAAAATGATATTAACAAAAACGACAACAACGACTATAATAATAACGACAGCCGTTCTTGTAATTAACGAAATTAATATCATGAAATTTTATGAACGTGACTGAAAAACAAAATGTAATGAATATTATCGTATCAACAATCTTACAAATATGAAAATAAATATTCTATGAAAAAATATATATTCACTATATACAGATGTGATTTGAAGGAAAGAATTTCGACCGAGAAGATGAACAAATCAACAATTATTTTCATAATCACTTAACTATTCGAAAAACGGCATTCGGAAGAAGCAACTCGTCTCATTTTACGGAAATAAAAATTGATAAAATAAAATTGATCAGAAACTGGCAAAAAGAATCATTCAAAAATAAATCAAAAACTCTTTTCGATTCAAACCGTTACTCATAAATATAATCGCCTGAATCAATGGTTTTCAATCTTTATTTTTCGCCCACATCCCCTAAAAAAAGTTTTAATATCCTCGCTTCTCTTACAATAACAGTTTATTGAAGAATAAAAGTAAACGCGATCGAAAGAATTTTTTGAAAATTAATTTTTAACAACTTATAAAAATGATTATTTGCAAACGAAAAAATATTTTTAAAAAAGTGACGATTGCATAAACCCACATAAATTTTCCTCGACGCATGAAATCTTTTCAAAAACATAGACATTAAAGTTCACCCTCACCTAATTTACAAACATGCATGCGCTGAAATCCACCCTCACCTTCTCTAATGCATAAAAAATGAAATGTCACCTCGCACGCCCTAGAATAATATCTCGCACCCCTGGCTTAAATAATAAAAATCGTTACACTCCAACACAGATTTGCTAGTTCATTTTGTTACTATGAACTCAACTTTACGAACTCATCACACTCAACTATGCACGGCTTAATTGTGCAAAATGAGACAGTTCTGTCGTTGAAACTACATTCATGGGCGTTCATCATGGACACAAGGAAACAAATTCAGATGAATACTAATTCAGAATTCTGACAACATTTAATCAAAACTGAGACCGCATATATATATACTATCATGAACTAAGAATGAATAACGTTAATAAATGAGAATTTAACACACACATTTATTGAAGAAAGATTGATAAATTCCTTTTAAATGAATATACACTTTGAATGTTCTTCGATGAAGCAATAAATTATGATATAGTATAATGCATCATATCGAGGAGTATAGTTTATACGAAAGCGTTATTTTAATTTAACCATATTCTTATTTATATCGTTAATGAGCGACTAGCTTCAAACTGTATCATCTGAAATAAAGCAAATTATAATTAGCTGATTCTGTTTACGTGCGCTTATTTATTTATTAGTTGTTGTATATCTTTTAGAATGATGAGTATAAAGACCATAAAACTGTGCGACGAGATGACGACTTAAATTTTTAAAAATAATGAAGAAACTGAATAAAGATGGAAAACTAACCATGGAACCACCAGCGAGTTTTATTAGGATTTTTACTACAAGTGCGAACATAAGTTGCATTATCAGGAGGTGGTTTTTTTTCCTTACAGGATGATAACATCGAAAGAACGGATAAACAAACAGCTTGCACTGATAGAGCCGGAGTCCAATCATCACTCAAAATCGATAAACAAATATGTCCATTAGAATATACATGTGGATGAACCGGTATATTGTCACCGACAAACACCACTTCGGGAGATGAAAACGGATATTCTTCGTTGAATCGGAACTGGAACATTCTTATCATCAATATTACTGTACTTTCACCATAACTGTTGTCAGCTAATACTACCGTTCACAACTAACCTAATACAAGCATTAGTAATATTGCCAACATACAAAACTTCAAAGATTCAGCCCATATCAATGCTAACGATCGAACAAACTCACTTTAAAATGAGAATAAATGGACGAACTGAAATCGCAAAGCACAAATGTAACAGAATATAAAATTTACTTGTAAAGTGAACTTTTCGCCAGCATATAGAGTGTTCGGTGCACCTTCAACTATAACAGTCCATACTCGGAGATCGTGCAAATCGTTGCCATCATCCGTTACAACGCGAACACCCGTTGGTGGTTCTAATGAAAGTTGTTGAAATTCTTTGGCAAGCCTTTTTTGATACGAACCCATCCAGTCGCTGTGTCAATAACAATCACTGAGAAAATATGATCAAGTCGATCTGAAAGTTTAATAAGGCTTCAAACATGTATGCGCCCTGCATCCTCAGTTGAAAATTGACTGAAGTTGATAGTTTGCTCCGTATCACAGTACGCGCAACCGGATGGAATGGCTATAACAGCTGCACCAGTATCAGAAGAACGCTCAGAGTTAAAATTTCAAGGTTCTTAACTTCTTAACTACCTATCCACTAACTTGTCATTCTACATTAAATCATTTAAAACCACTCCGCATACGCATAATCCGCTGCGGACATGCTCACAGGTTTCTTGAACACATCTGAATAGCAGAATTAATTCCACGGGAAATGGATGAAAATCTGCAACGATATAAGTATCCATCGTTATATGGGCTTGTTTGACATTATAGAAGTTTCGCACTCCTGTTATTCATTTAAAATTGACTGGCTATACTCAGATTTCACAACAAACAACACATGAATAGAACTTAAGCAATGCGGCCAATCATTCCTCTCAAACACGAAGTTATCCTTTCTAAAGCTCTATTTACAAGGGTGACGCAAATTCGGTTTCATTAAATCTGGCTATGAATCAGTGCCAAACTACATAAACAGTAGTAAGCAAAATACAAGATAACTGGAATACGATGACAGGTAATTGAAAGTTGAACGAATAACACGCAAACCTTTATCTCGAACTCTTACTTAACGGCTCTATCAATCTAATCGTATCAAATTTGCGCCCCAAATTAATCCACAAATCACTCACACAAAAGTTGGAGAACGAGTAAATATTGATAAATAACGATAACTCTTACAAACGTTAGAACACTTTGCCAAAATGATTACAGCGGTAGAAAAGCCACATAAAGAATCGCAACCTCATCGTAAGACTTACGAACAACTAGACTGTTGCTATGATGATCGCAAACGCAGAATTATCATGGATCACTTATGTACAATTGACTTTACATTTGTTGAAAGAAAGATCACCAGTTAAGTACGTATAAAATTATTTGCTAATTCAAATCATGTACCAGCATTCAGTCGTAAAATATCGCATCCTTGCCGATACCTCTCAAGCGAAAAAACGTGGGCACTTTTTGGAGGTTTGGGGGGTCTGAAAGTGGAAAATTGTATTCAAATGCAAATTTTCCACTTTCAGACCCCCCAAACCCCCAAAAAGTGCCTACGTTTTTTCCAAATAAAAAAGCTCATCTGATACAACTTTTCAAGCTCTACAAGATGTGTAGAGCTTGAAAAGTTGTATCAGATGAGTTTTTTGTATCAAATGAGTATATTTTGTATCAAATGTATCAAATGAGTATATATCAAATGAAATGAGTATTTGTATATTTTTTGTATTTGTATTATTTTTTTATTTTTTGTATCAGATGAGTTGTATCAAAGTTGTATTAAAAGTTTTCAAGCCCCGTCCATCTCTTAGGGTTCGTCTGACAATCAGTCTGACAAAAAAATCAACCCCAAGCATCGGTTGTGGGCTTCATCTGATCTTCAATCTATCGCTCTCCCGACCGTCTGTTGTGCATTAATAAGTTATTGTTTTCCTCAATCAACCTATTCAGTGCAATCTTATTTTGTTCGACACGCCTGATTTCATCCTCCCCTTCCCCCTTTCCATTACCTTATGCCACCACTTACTGATTTTTTGCTCCTTTCAATAACATAACATGATCATTTCATCCTCAAACAAAGATGGATAATAGGAATGTCTATCAACCAAACTACGTAACAACGGTATGAGGTAATTTCTAGTAACGTGATCATGCAGTGAAAAATGGTCTCGATACAATTCGTCTCTAAATGCTTAAGGAATTAACGTCACTACCTCTCGCAGTAAACAACCTTAACAGCTGTTAGAACTTTTCAAATCTTTTTTGCCTTGCGTAATTTCATCATTTGTTCAATTCTTTAGTTTCACTATGGATCACTAAAACGTTATGGATCACGTTTATGAAAATTCATTCATGAATGTATGCCAGATTAAAATATTTACTGATAGCCATACTCTTATGGGAATCTTCTCAAGCCGAAGGCTAAATAGCACATTTACGCTTGGGCTTAGGTACGCACGGTGACTCAAAAGTACGTGCATCCTAATTGTAAGCAATCCTGTGCCCATTTGGTAAAGCATTGTTCATCATCCTCATCGTTGAAGTGCTAACTCATCAATGCTAACAAATCTTTGCAATATTAATCCAGCTAGGGGATAGGTAGTACTCTAGTCAGGAGATAAGTATTATGTTTGAAATTTTTTAAAATNTAAAATCATTATTTGCTCTACACTCAATTTACTTTAATGCTCCAATTGAATTTATTTTCCAAAAACATTTTATAATTTTTTCATATTGGTGTTCAATCTGTTTTTATTTTATAATTTCTAACTTACAACTTCGTATTTGTGGTTAGCGGTTTTTCAGCACTACCGATTTTGGTTCACCTTATAGCGTTGAACCGATATATATTGGTCATTTGCAGTGGTGAACCTAACAAATTTTAACATTATAGTTTGCAAGGCGTAAAGGTCACCCTTCTTCACCCCTCATAATTTTCACCAAGAGGAGGTTCCCCTCCTCATTCGGGAACCTTCGTTCAAAATTCTCGATTGCTTCATAAGCAGTACCCTTTTGGCAGAGTGCTAACGCGTGCAGTTGGCAGATTGCTAATACACCACAAACTCATTGCTAAACATCATGAAATGAGGGTCTACGACTATTTTGTCCGCGACAATGTGCCACTCCGACAATTTGCGCGTGCCTCATCATTGAGTAGCATGGTGCTTTTTGTCGGAATTTAGACTTGTCGCGGACGTATTTGTCGGTCATTCTGAAATGCAATGTAATTGTCGATATAGTCCGTAATTAAAAAGTATCGTGACACTTCTACTGTTATTGGACGTCGGTCATGATTTCATTGGCCTTTAACTTCTGAGAAGTAAATTGAAACTTCAGGTTTGGCTGAAACTTATCTACGCATAAATTAGGCCTTGGTCATGCTGGATCTTGCTTGTGCCGGAGTTCGGATTCACAAGAGAGTTGTTTGAGCTTAGTTTAAGCACAGTTTTTGGTTGAGACTCTGCGTTAGTTCTGAGTGCAGCGTAAAATGAGAGTTTTCTCGTGTACATGCTGACATTATTTCACAGCGACTTCGCAGCGCGTAAGTATGAAATCAACGTCTTTCAGTTCAATTAGCACAACACCTGCTCGCGTTTGAAGCGAATACTTCAAAGAAGCACTCCTTACATGGATTTTATCATGACCTCACTCAGAGATAAAATTGGTATTTTGCTTAGATGTGAAAAAAGTTATTTCTCACCAATCCATTCCTATTGTTACATTTATTAGTTATTAGCGTATGAGGAAATACATAAAAGATTCCTACAGTGTACCCAAAAGTGCCCAGTGAGCATTGGTGTAACAAAATTGTATCAGCTCAACAGCAGCATTCATTTTTATGGACGTTTATCTCTCCACTGCAAATTTGCCAAGAATGGACTCTCCAGCTCTCCAATTCTATTTTTTGGTCACTTTTACTTCAGGTTGTTTCGGTTTAGTTTCTGGTCTTATTATTCCGATTTAAATGGATATGACACTGCTGTGGGTTCGCAAGGACGTTTTCTATTCGAGAACAAAAAAGAGTTTAGAGTGAATTGTTGTGCGCTCTTCTGAGAGTTTATGGAATGGAAATTAGAAGACCACAAACTTCAAGAATTATGTTTTATGAAGCAATGCGATTCAGTGAAATTTGCCAGCGAAGTGACACCAGCGATGAGGGAGTTGCTGACATTGTGGCGGCTGCAAACTGCGAATATGCAGAATGTGTTCGATTTCGGCACATCCGAAATGTATGGAGGCCTTCCATACAAACAAATTATATTTTATTACAAAAAAATGCAATTCATTTGTTATAGATTGATTATAATTCTTAAAATAAAGTTTCGTTCAATAAGTGCCTGGTAAACACAAAAGTGCCCTAGCCATAAAGTTCGTATTTCAAAATAAGTTGCCATCCTCAGCCAATTATGTCCTTATTCGTGCCCATATAATCTTTTCTACATAAATTTTGCTTAACTGACACATCAAACAGACTTTTAGGCACTGGTAGGTCAACTTCCAGCCTAGCCTTATGTTTCTTGAGAGTATAATCAAGATTAGGATATACTGACGATAAAATTATCTACATTGTTTTTCGCTGATGAATGAATGTTTTATTGAATGTTCATTTTATTGATAAATAAATGTTCAACTTGATTAAGCAATGTCAAGGTATGGAACAATAAATCGTTCACATTTGTTATTATTCATCGTCTTGAAGTATTTGTGCACGTTTGTCGTATCGTTGAACAGAAATCCACTGTTATTATTGATCTCGCTCGATGGATTCAGAAACGATCTGTTAAATTCCTCAACGGTTCCAAACATTTGGCAGTTTGCTCAACAAGGTCTCCTCTTTTTGTTTCATTCTTCCATTCGCTTCTCACAATTTATTATTACGACGAAAATTCATATTGAGGTCTTCCCTTTACCCTTCCAACTATTGATGCAACTTACCATCGCCTTAGAATACTCTCATACTTGTGGATTCTAAAAATGAAAACAGCAACCGTAATGCAATTATGAATTGTTTATGATGTAACGAGATGGTTTTAAGGATACAACGAGTAATACTGATTAGTAGTCATGAATAAACATTGAAAAATAATAATTTCAAGGTGTTTATTTTATGAATGGAGTTCGTCCGCAGTATTTAACTTATACGGCACCAAATCATGTATCTATTGCAACTGGTAGATTAGAGGAATTCCATGGAATTGTTGCGAACCAATTTTATGATCCTTCGTCTGATGAATAGTGAGTTTATCAAATCATGCGAATTATCGAGTATTGATAGTAGCAGTAGCAGTAATAATATTAATGATAATAATATTATCAATAATAATAGTAATTGTTGTTATTACTGTTACCAGCTAAATGAAATCAGGTTTCAGTTACGATATATTTAACTCGACTTCAACGGAAGGTATTGTAAATGCTTCTTTAAATGAGCATTTTTACAATGGCGAACCAATATGGTTATCAAATGAACGTGCCGATCAGTCGAGTCGATTTTCAGCAGCAATTTATTGGCCAGCTGGTGATGCTTTTTGGCCAAGTGAACCACATCAACCTACAATATTTAAGTAGTTATTACATAATCTTTATTGTAAATAGAATTTATAGCTGATTACTGGAAATGATTCGAGTGTAAATAACTGAGCAGATATTGTTATAATATTCCGTGTTGGACATCACAATTATTTACGATTGATCATTTGTTATTTTCTTTTATCATAATGATGTTGATTTAGAACATGGAATGGTCATAAAAATCTATCCGGATGGATGCAGGACTTTGATGAAATCATTGCACTATTCACGCGTTCCAAGGATCCAGTGAATTTTGCTGCTTGGTAAATCAAATTGCTAAATCTAAATTCTTACTGTGAATTAATTTCTGATATTGTTGTAGAACGAAATATGAAAATATGCAATTCTGCATTTTTCATTCTAATTGTAATTGATGAGAATGGTAGTGATAATTATTATCGACACTATTGTTCGTTCTATTATTATTACCGTTGTTATTATTAATATTATATTCATTATTGACAGTTGGTTGCGTCGTGCAACAAAACAATTAATACAAAAATGAGAGTGTCATTTTTCTGGGGCAGTTTTGTGCATAGAATCTGCAAGTGAACTTTTTTCACCACCATATGCACTTTTTTGCGAGTGAACATAAAAGTTCGAGAAATGGCCAAAATGCGTGAATTTCAGTGTATGAAAAAAGTTGACTTTTCATTCTCAAGGAACCTGACGAATAAATGCAGTCGGATATATTCTGTGAAAAGCAATTAAACATGCGAGGTACATAATTGAAATTTGTTTACTGTTCCATTCCAAATGCACTCTGATAAAGCGCGCGATCTGAGTAGAGAGTGTGAGAAAACTATGTGTAATGAAGAGAGCGGCAGACAAAACAAAAAATAAACGATCTGTTAATGTTTACCAGAGGTGTATGTTTAGATGAAATGTCGGTAGTTTGTCACGTAAGATGTTTCCTGTACTATAGGATCTCATAGGGGTGAGGGAATTACCCATTTTTAGGTAATTTAGGGATTTACCTAAAACAGTGAGTTATGCATAAGTGAGTTACTGTAGCGAGGGGAGGGGAGGGTGGAGTGATGATGACCTGTCAGACTATCGAAAGGGATAATGAAGCACCCGAACGCTGGGAGCACTGCTATAATAGTACGACAACGATGAGCGGTAAATGGAACTCCTGTTCAGAATCTACGTCCACAGCAAGTGATGTTCCTATCATCGTGTCATTTCTACTGTTGTTCCGACAGAAGTCTGAAAATCACAGAACACATCCATAAAAATGGAGTCTTTTTTAGAGAAACTGTGCATAGTAGTGAGAAAAGTTCACGACTGGATCCTACTTGTAGACCTGCCCCACAAAATGATGTTCTTATGTTTGCGTAATTTATTCTGTTACATACTGTTATCTAGGTATCTTTCTGAACCTGATCAAACCTTACATTCGCATGGTTTCTATAATGGTGAATTAAAGAAAAAGTTGAGTGAATTGGATTCATTGATACGTTACGTCGTGGAAACGGTTGAACAAAATGAGGAATTGACAGATCGTTTGAATATTATTTTAACAGCCGATCATGGCCATGCTGAGGTGTGCTGTTTATTTTTTACAAATCATTTATGTAGATTCACATTTGTGTTTATGAATAGTTAAGCAGGTGTATATAAAAAGATGAGTGCATGTATATGAATTGGTTGATTTTATATATTCCATTCATTTGTTTATTTGTTTGTTTATGATGTGAATTTGTAGATAACGAGCCCTCGAAATGTTTTTTGTATATCTTCGTTCGTGAATATAACGAAAGATATGAAAGTTGGTGATAACATGTTGTATATAAATGACCAAAACTTGCGAAAAGAAGTTTACGAAAAACTGAAGAAGGCCATAGAGTATGGGAATTATAAAGTTAATATCTATTATAAAGAGGTTTGATTCTTCAGCTAGTTTCGAAAGATTTTCGTTGTAACGTTTTTATTACTTATTTTTATTAGCTGATCCATTTTCTTTTTTTAAAGTTTTATTATAGAGGGTTAATATGGAATTTCATGAATAAATTAAATTTTGTCAAGAATCTTTAAAAGTATTAGTTTTATTTGAATCATTATTGCCATATATAACTAAATATTTTTTTCAGGATTTCCCGTCACGTTACGGCTACAAGAAGTCACCGCGAGTTGGCGATATAATATTGGAGCCACATATTGGTTCTGCGATATTAACTGATTGTCCACCGGTTAAGAAACTATTTCGTTTCTTATGAAATTTTGACGCTCAAAATTATCTTCAGTGAAATTTTGCTGCAGATATTTTTATTTATGTCGTTACAAAATTGACATTCATTATTGCTTTTTGTTCAGGAACTCTTCGATTTAATCGCTCACAATATAACGAAGTTCAATAAGTCAACTCATGGTATGGACCCAGATAAAGAAGAAATGCGGGCCATATTAGTCATGAAAGGACCAGCGTTTGCTGAAAAGCTGCAAGTATGATTTTCATTGAGCTTCTTTTATAATATAATCTAATTGTTATTTATGATGGATATTGTATGTTCCTTTCCGATGTGTTGTTCATATTCAAAATGAAAGTATATATAAAGCAGTTGGTGCTAAGTATTTTTTACCATCATGAAAATGTTATTTGCAAAAAGATAATTTAAAGATGTTATATGTTGTATTATACTTTGAAGCAGGATTATAGTGTCATCTTAACTGTTGTTATATATTCTGAAGAAGCAGGATCGCCTCTCGATTCATGGCAATAATTTTTGTTGAGGTGCAAACAATAGCCAACAATATAGATTTATACGCGTTAATGTGTCACGTGTTGCGCATAAAGGAATCGCCGAACAATGGTTCGTTATCGAATCTGAGAATGGCGTTGCAGTCGCAATCCCCCATACAAGCACAACCCTTAATGAGTAGCTCATCGTCATCGCGCTTCCTATCACAATCTGCCATACTTCAACCGATTGTTTTCAGTACGGTAAGCTCTTTCATTTCCACCACTTTTTGTTTTTCTTTACATTCAAATGATTTATTTTCAGTTCTTCACTTTATTCATGACAGTCTTTGTGCCAACATCTTTACTGACTGTATTCTGCCTGACACTTTGTTGTTTGAGTGGTTACTGTGGATGCAACCAGCAAAACAGTCAGCATGATTCACAGAAATGCGGAATGTTATTGTTACCGTCATCAAACAATTGCCGTTATCAGTCCTTGAATGATTCGTCGACCAGAAATCGTTCTCGAAAACGAGAATTCGATGAGTTTAAAAAATATTTTGCTACTCAAGGTCGGAATTACAGTAGTGAAGATGAGCTGTAGTAAATGAGATTCAGTTGATTGCACCGACCAACCGAGACTGTTCGTTGTTTGTTCTTGCGCGATTCCAAATGCCTTATAAGGTCTAATAGAATCCATCATTTTTGGGTATTGGTGTTTCATTGTTAAGTCTATTGTAATTATTATGATTATCTTGATTGGTTGATGTCATCACTGTTTTTTTTTTGTTATTATCTATGTTATTATTATTTTTATTTTCCTTTAACCGCTTCAAAATCATCCCGATTTTATCAACTGTTCCCAAATTGCTGTGTGATTATCATTTACGCCTTTTAAAAGTGGTTTTGTATGTTTATCAATGGTATTATTAATTTATTTGATGAGCATTTACAATTCATTGTGAGTTTATGCCTCTCTGTTACCATCAGTATCACGTTTTTCCTTCTTTGGCATTCTTCTTTCCGCGCAGCTAACGATAATAGTGTTGGGGATCTTCATGAAATTTTAACTCTGATCACTGATTTGGCGAGCAAAGAGGTTTTGGGATTTCACTTGTATTGCTCAATGATTTCTAGGTAGAGGGACTTAAAATGAGGTTGAAAATACATTCCGTGTGATCGGTTGAACATGCGTCCAGTGATCGCTGAGGGTAGCTCTTTAAAACAATCAGCAGCATTAAACCAGTAATTTTTCGTGATCAGTACTAAGCAGTTAATATAACCGAACATATGCATTGAAATTGATGTATTCAACAGTGCTATAAATGATGAATGCCCGTTGCCATCAGTATTTTGCATAATTAAGCACAGACAGATACCAATCCAGTAAACTATCATAATGACGATAAACATTTTACAAACCAACCGCTCAGTACTCGAATAACAAATTTCTCTCGCTATCATTATCGGTGCAGTTTATTCTCTTATATCCGAACTCTTCGGTTTTTGGATTTGCACGAATGATTTGTTTTGTTGAGTTTTGTGAATCGCAGCCGTGGATAGGCAGGCTGTGAGACGAAAACGCGATTTACATGCAGCCAATCAATCGCTTTCTGCAGCCATATTCCAGCGACACACATCTGTCATTCTTGAACTTCAGTCGTTCGCAACACCCTTTTCTATTCGTTACTGGCGTGCAAACTATTCTATGACTGGGATTTGCACGGGATCTCGGGATTTCAGTTCTGAACCCGATCTCGGGATTTAAGTTTTGAAAAATCCTGGGACGTCGGGATTTGATAAAGCAGGCCAATCTGTATTAATTTTAATAGTGCGTCCATCTTGAAGCAAGTCTTAATCATTACCACCTCATTCATATGCAGTCATCCTTGTTGTTTGCCGCCTATCATTGATGAATAGTCAAGGAAATAGACGCAAGTTGGACGAATGACATGATCAACGACAGCTCGATGAACTTTTACGTAGCATTTCATTGAATATTCAACTGATTATTCTGCTCTTCATGGATTTATATCGCGATCATCTGGATGCATTTCTATGTAGACTGACAGAGATAATCACATTTTTTAATAAGAACCAAGAGTAAGAGAGAGTCACCGAAATTTTGAGAACATATCGGTTCCTGATTAATGAACATATCGGGATTTAACCCCGGGATCGATTTTTGATCCTGGGATTGAAGAAACGTCGGGGTTTTGCCAACCCTATCAATGACCCAGCAGTCTGCTGAATAACTATTATGAGTTCCTCATTCCAAAGGAAAAAATGCTTCACGCAGTTTATCTTCGTTATCGTGGATTCACGTAGATAGTTCCGATAGTATTGCTTCATAATAGCTGTACTGCTTTGATCCATGGAGTGTTTTAAGGCGATTTCATTTGGTGGACGAAAATTTGACGTTATCTTATTCTTCAGTCATAAATTCATCCATTTCAAGATGGTCAGAACAATAATCCACTTTTCTGCTGCAATTAATTCATTCCTAGTAGTTTTTGTTGCAGTTGCGATACAAATTCCTCATAAAGTCATTATATTCATTATCCAAGCGTTGTTTGAATTCACATAAAAAGATTATCAGACCCGATATTTTGGGAGCATTCTGCTTTTTCTTTTTTTTGCTAACATTATTTGACCATTCAAGAATTATAGACAGTTTTATAAATGTGTGTCGTTCTCTATCAGCTCACGTGTTTATTGGTTTTCGGAAAGAAAACAATAGTGTTCATGACGTGTAACATTTCTGCTTGTGTATTTGTTTGTTTTTTTAAGGTGATTATATTCAAGAATTTTATCGAACTACATTCTCTAATGAAACGAACAAACGAATGAACTGAATAAATGACGAAGGTTTGGAAATTCAAAAACAATAAAACAAAATTGCGCAAATAAAAGAAAACAACAGTAAAGTAAGAAACAACAAATTTTCTAAAGTATGGTGACTGTTGAACGCTAATCGGCGAATCATTAAGAAATCGACTGGAACGTTACTGCATAAGGTATTATTTGAAGTGATTAAATTCTCGAACTAGAGCTTGCGAAACTGGTGCCAAGGAAGGAATGTGGCTGTAGTTGTGATTGTTGCTGTGGGATCAGTGTTGATGTCGATTTTGGATGCATCCTCGCCGATTCTCGTTTAAGTTTCTCCTCTACAACTTCTCGTTCTGCGTCATCATCGTTTGGTCTCACTGAAAAAAAGTTTACGTGTATAAAAATCGGTAAAACGATCTAATGCAAGAGAGCATAGTGGTAGTGATAATCCTAGTAGTAATGATATTGGCAGTAATCAAAAATAATGATGACGTTGATAAAAATGATTTTAACTGTTTTCAATTAGTACCTTTGAGTTGTTTCTGAACTAAAGTTCTGAAAAGACCTTCGGTTTCTGCGAGTTCCTTATATCGACCAGTTTGCTCGACTTGTCCTTTATTAATAACAATTATTTTGTCAGCATTTTCCACCGTACTTAAACGATGTGCTACCACAAGTACGGTGTGTCCACCAAGATTCCTTGATATTGCTTCTTGTACCTGAGAGTTGATCTTTCAATTGCAACTTAACAGAGGCTGTGAGTAAGTATTTGAAGAGATAACATTATAAATGCACAGCATTATAATAATGTTGAGAGTTTAATGAACGGTCGCTGATGGTAATACATTGAACAAGTGAGTAGTTCAAGTGAATGAACTCTAGACGCTCATATAATAACCGTTACAAGTGTTAAAATCAACGAACCAGACGTTCCGATTGTGAGTCCAATGCAGATGTGGCTTCGTCAAGTAGAAGTACCACTGGATCGCGTGCGAGTGCACGTGCAATAGCGATTCTTTGCTTTTGTCCACCTGAATATGTGAAAATGTTGATCAAAATAATAATATTATTATCAAATTCATACTTGGCATTGATTATTGTATGTAAAAAATAATAAAAGATTGTATGAATATGACCGAAATATACCTGACATCTGACTGCCCTTCTCACCCACATTCGTTTCATAACCGTCGGTTGTTGTTAAGATGAAACTGTGTGCATTTGCTAATTCGGCAGCATTTTGGATTTTCTCATCACTTATTTGATCAATACCATATGCTATATTCTCACGTACTGATCTACCATATAACACCGGTTCTTGACCAACCAATGCAACCTTAATTGCAAATTTTTCTATATTTTTTCCTATTTATTCGCTTCTCTCATCAGTACTGTATTACAATTATAGATGCCCTTCTCAAAAACTGCATAAAAGTGTGTATTATTAATATTCATAGCAATGCAATCAATATGAAATAACCTTCGTATGAAGGAATTTATGATCATAGTCTCGTACAGGAATACCATCCAACAAGACAGAACCGGATGTTGGTTCATAGAAATGTTCTAACATTGCAATTAATGAACTCTTTCCACTACCAGATGGACCCACCAATGCAACCACCTCACCAGGATTAACTGTGAATGATATGCCCTTAAATGATTTAATGAATGAATGAACAAATAGATAATAACACTTGTGATAAAAATAATAAGTTTTACAAATATATTACTTTTTGTGAGTCAAGCATGTTCAATTTTGGACAATGAGAAAAGCTCAAAAGCAATGTCTGTATCAATGATGGTTGTAAAAAGAATACTTTCATGACTGGTACATGTGGTCTTATTGGATAGCTGAAGTGAACATCTTCGAATTGAATTCGTCCTTCTAAAGTTGTTATCGTACCATCAAGATTTATTTTACCGTTATTATTCACTTTTGGCTTACGATCAATTAATTCGAATACTTTCCTCGATGCGCCAACTGCTTGCATAAAACCATTCCACACTTCACCGAGTTCCTTGCAGTGAAACGCTCGATTAGGACTCCTTTCGGATCGCATTTATGACAATTTTTATCGCATTAATAACCACGATAATAATAATATTAATAACATCAATATTAATAGTAATAAAACTGATATGGGTGTGATTACTACTGCTGCCGCTGATACCATTATTAAGATTGTTTTTACTTTTTTCATTAAGCAGTCAACGTGGACTTAATAGAGTGTACATATTTTTCAATATGAACAGTTGCAAAAACTCGAAAAAAAAAGAACAAGATGGGAAATAATGAAAAAATAATGAATAAATGAATTTACTCGTAGATTTTCGCCCAACTGGAATTGATAAAGCAAAAATGATATGAGCAATCTTGAGTCAACCTAAAAGTAATGCATTATTATTATTGCTAATACTATCAGCATTATCGTTATGGATCATTACTTCGATATTGAAGTGCTCGTTAGCAAATGCTTGAAATAGATTTCATATGTAACTTCTGAAACACTTCTTGAAGTACTTATTCGACATAACACATTTGGGTTATGGGTGAGTTTGCATGTTTGTTTATGCATTCACCAATATAGTCGTCATATTAATCGAGCACTTAACGTTTTCTGAGCGAATAACGAAGACAAAGCCTGATTTATATCATTTGAGTCGATAGAATTCTAACCTGATTTTGAAGCACCAAATGACCACCGTACCACAGTACAATGATTAATATACCCATTTGCAACAGCTAAAAGTTCAAGTTCTTGTGGACAGTACTTGTGTTGCCTTTTTGAACATCATGATTGCAATAACGACTACCGTTATCGCAAAATTATTACTTTTCATGTTATCGTCAGAATTATTCAATTATATATGGAAACAAGAGTGCGAGAATGATTATTTCCTAGCACTCATAGAATATTTTTAAACTTACTTCAGATGTCCACACGAAGCCAACATGTGCTATTGCTTTTCTGGTTGCAATGCCCAATGTGACATCAAGGAATGCCATGAATCTAAAGAGAATATGAGCTTCATCTCAAATGGAACATAAAAATATGTGATGTACAGCAATCAATCGCGAAACGATTCGACTGTTTTGATCGAAATCATTACTGATCAGATTTGTTGAGAAATTGAGAATTAAGAGGGCGATAAATGAAGGCGTCCGCTCTTTTTTTCATGCTTTCCATAAGGTAATTGAAATAATTCAATCAAAAAATATTGTGATTCAAATAGATGTCTCACTGCTTAGGAAATATCTGTTCGTGTTTTGAACTTAACTAATGTCATGAGTATACGTGATTCAAATGTAATTCGAGGGTGAGCTCGAAATATCTGATTCATTTTTAAATGTTCACACGTTAAACGTCGATGAAATTACCTCTTTGCTTCAAATTTCTCACATGCAAAACTTTTAACCGTTCGGATTGCACTGATCACCTCCTCGGCAACATCATTTGCTTTTGCTACCGAAGTTTGCGTCTCTTCAGATAATTGCTTCAATTCAACAATTCATTCAAAAATTGCTGCTCTTGTTCTCGATGAAAATGTGAAATAAAGTAGATGTTAAATTATATGAAGCAGAAAAAAGGATGAATACATAAAGTTTGAGTGATTTTTTAAAGAAAGTGTATAATCTAAATGGAACAATCGCATCTATGCAAGATATAAAAGAATGCAAATGAAAGACTCACATCATAATAAACGCCATACACTTTTGAAATGAGAAAAATGATTGGTATTGCAATCACTGTGATCATTGAAAGACGCCATGAAAGTGAGAACATAAAGATAACCGATCCAAATAGGATTGTTAAATTACGTGACAGAACATTCACATATAGTGATAGCGTATTTGACATTGTCATGCAATCGGCATTCAAACGTGAGCAGATTTCACCTTCAATGAAATTTTGCGAATACGTTTAGAGATTAAGCGTTAAAATTGAATCACATTCAAGAAATGAATACTATTCATTATAGAGTTAGCATTTGAAAAATACATTCTTAACAACAACGTTAATTATATTCCATTATTTTAATAAGTGAATCTTAATTAATTTGTAGTAACCCGTCTGTAGCTCGCATAAGTTAAAGGCGCTACTAAAAAGTATTCAATGCTGATTTCATCACATCAACAACAATAGATTACCAATATAATAGAACATATCATCTATTGCCGTAATTTTTAAGTGATTTCCAATTTAATAAACAATGAAACGAAGAACGTGAGCCAACACGTGAACGGTAATACAAGCAGATAGATAAGAATGAACAAATATAATTCAAAATTTTCAGTAGAACTTAATGTTCGCATTTCTTGATGTGAATATTGCAGTAGTCGATAATCACTGCATTTTCAATCTCAATTTTCCACTAGTAATGGTTACCGGTTTTATTAGCATCGAAAAATCCAATTTCTTGTTTAACGAGTGATCGGAATAAATCATCACGAATTCTGCGATCAATTCTCGCTTGTGCATATGTAAATGTGCCTCCACGCAAACCTCCAAAGACCGATCTTAAAATTTAACTATTTTAGCAGACTATTATTGCTTCATTACATTTATTTAATTTTTCACTGGAAAATATTGCCAGCAAGTACTATCAAAATGTTGTCATAAGACAGTAAATGTAGCTTTTAATGCTTTCCTCACAATTAGACTATTCAAAATCGAAAAATACACTTTCACTTAGAACGTAATGAAGAAAGTGCATATAACAATAATAATGATGACAATAATGATAATAATAATGATAATAACAATGCATAATCAACTATCAAAACCCACCCACTAACCGTAAGCACGGCCATAATCGCAACAGTCTTATGAAGTGCAGCATATGAACCAGCTGATCCGAAAACACTAGCCACCACCTCACCGGTATAGAATGGAATGAATACACGTGCTAAATGAACACAATTCATGAGTGAAAAGAGGCAAAAATAAGAACTGGGCAGAATAATGAGTGATTCAACGAATGAAATGAAATTGAAGACGGCAAATGAATGAGTTGTTGAAAGGAATCGGTATAATATAGATGCACTTACACACTGAATAAAGTAAGAGGAATGTGAAAGCGACCAAATAAAAACTCCACTCTTTCATCATATAACTGAACAATCGAAGCAATGTTCGGGTTGCTTCACGTTGCTGCAATAATTTTTCATCCTCCTCCTGCAATCGAAATTTTAATTCCGATATCGTTTCTACACTGATTATATTCAAATGAACGATCACAACAATAGTTCTCATATCAATGATAATGCTAATAATTATTATTGCTATCACAGCAAGTATGATTATTATATTATTATTGCTATAACAATAACTATAATTAGAATAATAAAATAATAATAACAGTAAATGATAATAAGTTAATAATAATAATAATAGTAATAATAATAATAATAATAATAATAATAAATAATAACAATAATAATAGTAACAATGATAATTATAACAATAATAATAAAAAACTGTGCTGTGAATTTGTAACATTAAAAAGATGTTGCAAATTTATAATTGCAAAAACGCGAATATAATCGATAGCTGATTATCTTCTCTGAATATGTACCAAAAATTAATAAAATACAAATCGAAATTGATAATATGTTAATGAAACTGTTGACATTGAACCGTTCTGTATGAAATAGTTGCCTCGGTCCCATCTAAAACTAATCGATCCCATCTAAAACAATGTTGGAACTTCGTCTATATATCTTCCTCTCCCCTCGATGCATNATTCGCTCCCATACTGAATTTGAATATAAATGCATAATTTTATAACGACAAAAATTTGCAACGATATTCAAAACTGAATTGAAAGAGTTTAGGTAATGATTTGAGTATTCATAACCTTACTTATAGCATTCTTATTCCAGCATTCAACTTAAAATTCTCCATCATGTAAGCCATCAAAGGTTGGACAAAACGATCGCTTCACAGATCTTCCTTCTAAAAGCGTCGAAGAAAAACATCCGCATTTGTGCGGATTGTAAAAGAAAGCGACAGCAAGGAACAAGACTTCACATGGATACCTTGATTATGCGCATCGTGTACTCATCCTCTTCATGAATCTGCTCAATACCAGCATCGGGTTCGGGTTCTCGCACCCTTGCGAAAATACTCACCCATATTGCCTTTAAGGAAAAGATACAATAAAATACGATTACGAAATGTTGATGTCGATCAAAATTTGTGAAAATTATCATTTGACGGGAATGAAACGCATCGAAAATACACCGTAAGCATTCGAATTGTTTATAGATAATACAAACTTCAGACATTGTAAGCATTCTCAATAAGTTTAAATATATTTTCGATTTTTGAATGCTTTGAATGAACTTTCAAAAGATTTCTGTCCTCAAATCTTAATGACTTAACACAAACGTATAAGAATAGATGCAAACCTGAGTGAATAATGAAGCAATTACACACCATATCATTAAAATCCAATCACCGACCGCAAATTTCAGATTTTCATCTTCATAGAATGCTAGCAGCTTGGATGGTGAGAATGCAACAATTAGAAGAATTATTGCGAATATTAAATTACTGAAACAACGAAGATCGTCGTCAAATTATATCCTAATTCTCAGATTAATTATTTTTCAAATCAACTTTTTCAAAAATGTGAATTCCAGTTTTTGCTCATCTTCAATAGCATAAAAATAATGTATATAAAAACATTTTTTATTGAGAGAATAAGACTGATTAATTTTCAGGCGGAATAAGCATTCAATATAGCAGTGTTTGATTTATTTGTTTCTGCATTTCACAGTATTACTATAGGACGGTAAACGTCTCCAGAGTGCACCAAACATTGAAATTTATCACTGATAACAACATCATTCTACCGTCTTTTTTTTTGAAAGTTTTTGTGCTCTGATTTTGG